ATGTCCCAATATTTGTGGACCTGACTGTATATATAATTTTTTCTTGTATTTTTTTGAATGCTCAAAGGGACGTTTTTGTTTAATAACACATTTCTTTCTAGGAATTATTTTGAGATTCGCTTTTTTTTATATTATTGTTATAATATAATCAAGTTCTTAATATTTAGTTATTTTTTATATACTTGTTTTATTTATTTTGATTTGATTGATATTTCTAGTATATTGGGAGCGCGACATGTAGAGTTTTTTATGATTGAAAGCCAGCCATTGTTTTATATACACAGTATGAGAATGTGATATTGTCAGCGATCCTTTTCCAACTCATATTAGTGGCTCGCAAGTAATTAACAAATTTTATTGGCTTTCAATCATGCTATTTAGGCAGCATTTGCATCTGCGCATTTTAGAACGCTTGCAACCTTCACAAGAAATGCATGCATGCTTTGCTATGCGCAATGCAGTAACACCCACCAAACATGTCATTCTCTCAATGCCATTTAGGCTGCATTCGCATCTGCACAGCAACCCACACAGAGAAACACACACTTTGCATTTTGCTAATGTACAGCAATGCATGTCACACCTGTATTGCCATTTAGGCTGCCTTCTCATTTGCACTTTTTCTAAATGCATGGTGTCTCAATTGCATTACTATATTCGTTCACATCTGCGCGATTCCAAATGCATTGCAATGTGCAAGAAAATTGTGTTTCGAAAATGCATGACAATGCGCGTTGTGCTTGTTACCATTCGTTCATATCTGTGAACCCGCAAGAAAATGCACGCTTTGCCATGCACTTTGAAAATGTGTGGCAGTGTGCATCATGGTTGTTACCATTTTTAGGCTGCGATAATCATCATCACGTTTCTGAAACGCCGCTTTTCCATGCATTTTGAAAACTTGGTATATTGTGTTTTGCTTGTGTTATCTTTCATTCCCATCTGCGTGTTTCTGAACGCACTGCAACCCCACAATAAAAGCCACGCTTTGACGTGCTTTTCTAAAACACGCAACAGCACACTTTTCTCTTGTGTTATTTTTCGTTTATATCTGCGTGTTTCTGAACACACAGCAACCTGCAAGAAAATGCTTGCTTTGTAGTGCATTTTGAAATTTTATGGCACCACGAGTTGTGCTTATGTTACAATTTGGTCGCATCTGTGGGTATTGTAACACACAGCAATCCACAAAAAAGTGTGGGTTTTGACAATTCGAAGCAACGCATAGTACGCTTGCATTATTATTAGTTCATATCTGCACGATTTTGAATGCACAGCAACTCTGCAAGAAAAGGCACATTTTGATGTGTTTCAAAAACGCAAGGCAACATGCATCACGCTTGTGTTACCATGTAAACTGTATGCATCTGTGCATTCCCGAACGCACGCCAACCCACACAGCAAATGCTTGCTTTGCCCCACGTTTTAGAAACTCGCATCATGCTTGTCTTGCCATTATGAAGACGCAAGCGCAATGCACATTTGCAGCGCATTTCTAAAATGCGCAGCAAAACATACATTTTCTTTGTGGGCTGCCGTGCATTTGGAAACATGCACATGTAAATGCAGCTTAATTGTTAATGATTCCCCAATCATGGTTAGTAGATGTGTGTTTTTGCTGCATGACAAAATGTGCTGCAAACGTGCACTGAAAAATCGTAACACTCCATGACTGAAAATGTTCTAGAGTTACTTTGGGGCATTTGTCATGCGCAGGGTAGCCCAAGTTTTTAGGCAGTAAGGATGACCATGGAGAGGTGAGGCTTAAAATATTCAGTTATCCATCATAGGAATTCTCATCAGTAAAGCCAGTTTAAAATCGCTTTGAAGTTGCACCATGTCACTTCAGGGTTTACTGTATTTCTTTAACTCTTAACTGCATACCAATATAAGTATTTTTGTTTTGAGAACCTTCTGACCCACTGACCTCTCAGTTACAAAATTTCATAGTACACATAAATACCTGCTTACAGAGCCCATTCACATGCCTATTTCTCTTTTTTTTTTTTTTTTTTTTTTTTTTTTTAAAAAGGCAGTATCCATAATAGACAATATATAAGGTTAGAGTTACAAATGCAGATTTCAGTCCGTTGACTGGATACAAGTTATATCCAAAGATAACAATCATGTCAGATGTCTATATCAAGAAGGTGGTACTAGAAAACTAAATCTAATTACTGGAAAAGAACAATGAAGTGCAATAATCAAATGCATCACCAAGTAGACTCATTACTTGCAACCAGGGATAGCGTGGCCCGGCATCAATAGAATATTCTACTTCTACAGTAGATCCCTTGTGGGGAGAAAGGGTACTGCCCCAATAATTTTTACTATGTAAAACCAAGAGGCCAGAGATAGTTGGAAGGTCAGAGAGGAGATGCAGAAAAAGGGGAGGGCAGGGCAGGGGGTTTGAAGAGGGAGGACCATATAAATGGTTCAATCCAGGGGAGGATGTTAAGTGCCTTCTCACTCAGCAGGACCCATCTCAAAGAGGGCTTTACCCTCCTCAGAATAGACTAACATATTTCACAAGCTCCCTGGTTTGGAATTCACTTCTCGTTTATGTCGTAAAGTCAGGACCAGGTCCTCCATCTGATTTAAATCCTCGACTTTCATGAGCCATAGTCCACTTGCCTATTTCTAACCTGCTAATTCTATCCTGACCATATTGGGACCTAAGGACTATGCAGACATCTGCCATTATAGTTAATATTAATAAAAGCCAAATTAGTAAAGGAATTCTTTAGTGCCAAAACTCTTGCATCACAGGCAGATAAGTGGACATGTCCATTACATGGGAAATACAGAGGAATTTGTAGTTTTACAGAAGATAGCTTTGAAGGGAGATAAAGTTGTTTGATATATCAGTTCAGCTTATAAGAAGTTAAAATTGAATCTCATTTCTGGCTAGATCAACGGGTAATTTCTGTACTTGCTGAAAATATTCTTCACTTGAAAAAAGAAATGAAATACATCCAGCCGTCTAAGGACCGGTGAGCTTCATTATATAATATTTTTGTTCTTGGGTTTAGATGCACTTAAAAGCCAAGTTCACCTTTGCGGAAAGTTGGTGTGAAAGTTATACAAACTATGGTGTATATATACTATGGTATATATACAGTATGTATTTAAAAATTGATCAGTCCTGATGTATTGACTGCCTATCTTTTTTAGGAGGCCCTAAAATGCCAAGACAGTACAGATGCCCCCTATTTTTGGAAAGTAGACAATCCAAGGTGTTTAGTAAGAGGCATTGCAAGTTTTTGAAGTTGTAATTTTTTGTCACAATTTTTTGGAAAATGTAGTAATTAAATGTTTTTTTTCGCACAATTTTTTTTACATACTGTCACCAGTGCAGTATCGTGTCGTCATATGACTGGTCTGGTGTAATCAGGGATACAGACTAGTTACAGTAAAAAAAAAAAAAAAAAAGTTTTGTTCGGTTGTTTAACATTTTTGTTTCTTTTCCAATTTTTTGTTATTTTTTTTTTTCCATTCATGACTCATTGTTTACTATTGTTATGCTGTGATTGGCAACAACAATCACATGGCACAGGGTGCTGTGACTGTTCCAGGTACCATGTAATCACTTACATGTGACAGATCACACACATTAATAAACAATGATGTCGTGAATGGATTGTTTACTAGGTGACATGATCACCCAGCAATCATGTGGTATTTGGGTCAGTCACAGTGGCCAGATTCCAAGCACCGCAATCCTCTGTGTCTGGTGGACACAAGGGTCGCAGTATACATCATTGCGAGCCCCAGGTGGTGCCTGTCAGGGATCTGTGTGCAAAAAAATTGCTGTGCAGCTTCCTTAGCTTTCACACACTCATCATTAATAATTCCCATAAATTTTGTATATGCGTAAAACAGCATGGTCTATTGAATTTTTTATGCTGGTTGCCTCCATCTTGTGTTCATAATGTATAATCCCTAATTTCAGGAAAATACATCATTACCTATTTGTTTTATAAATAAACTCTTAAGGGAGACCGTTTTCTAATACTGATTGCCACTCTCCAAAACTTAGCCTGGGAAGAAAGGTCTTAATCAAAGGACAAAGAACAGAACTGGAAAAATAAAACCTATGTAGCTCTCCTCCAATGTAAAAATAAAAGAAAAAAAGGTCAGAAAGGTCCTACCACCCACCTTTGTCTATGAGGTGAATAATAGGAGGTGGCATTATAGCGCAATGGTCCCTCATGCTCCTGAAACAAGCATCAGTTCAGAGTCTCGGCACACTTTAGATGTAGGCATCTAAGTGTTTAAAACACTATCAGTAGCTATGATTCAGCTCTTTAGAACTTGAACCAGTGTTTGTCATGCACTCCACATAGAAACATTCGAAAGGTCAAAAAGACTTTTATTTTCAATGATAATGGTAAACAGAACAAACAGAGAGGGTGAATCTCCCTACCAGGGACACAGACCGCAATAAAAACTGGCAGGTTTTCTAATTCCTCTCCACTCTATCAAAAACTAAAAAAAGTTTTGCCTTTAGTTACTTTAACCACTAGCCTACAGGGCACTTATACCCCCTTCCTGCCCAGGCCAATTTCCAGCTTTCATCGCTGTTGCACTTTGAATGACAATTGTGCGGTCATGCAACACTGTACCTATATGAAATTTTTTTGTGACAGATAGAGCTTTATTTTGGTGGTATTTTATCACCTCTGGGTTTTTTATTTTTTTCTTAAACCAAAAACCACTGAAAATTTTGAAAAAAAAAGTTTTTTCTTAGTTTTTGTTATACAATTTTGTAAATATAAGTGATTTTTCTCCTTCACTGATGTGTGCTAACGAGGCTGCACTGATGGGCACTGATAGGCTGCACTGATGGACACTGATAGGTGACACTGATGGGCACTGATAGGCGACACTGACTGGCACTGTCAGGTGGCACTGATAGGAAGCACTGACGGGCACTGATAGACGGCACTGATGCACACTGATAAGCAGCACTGGCTGGCACTGATAGGCGGCACTGACTGGCACTGATTGGCAGCACTGATAGGTGGCACTGACTGACATTGATAGGTGGCACTGACTGGCACTGATGGGTGACACTGAAAGGCAGCTAAGATGGGAACTGAAAAGTGGCACTGATCGGCACTGGCAGGTGGCATGGATGAGCACTGAGAGCGGGCACTGATGGACACTGACAGGTGGCGCTGCTGGGGCTACACAGATCATCAGGGCACCCTGGTCATCAGTGCTCTGATGATCTGTGTACATGTCCCCTCCGAGGAATGCTGATTACCAGCTCTCCTCTCCTCACGAGCTGTCAGTGTGACAGCTCATGGGGAGAGAAATGCCGATAACCGGCATTTCCCTGTTTACATGTGATCAGCTGTGATTGGACACAGCTGATCACATGACCGAGCCGACATCTTTGGCTCTTTTGCGTGGATCGGTGATCCGCTGTGTCCGAGGGACACAGCGCACCACCGTTCCCTGCGTTCCGGGAGCCGCGCATTCGCAGTTAGAATGGGAGGACGTCATATGACGTCCTCCCAGAACTAGAGAACCGCCTTGCGTCCATCATTTTGCTATATGGCAGGTGGGAGGTGGTTAAACTTCCACTTCCACCTCACTGTAGAGCCATAAACTTCATGTCACTGCCAGCATGTAGTCATGCCATCATCAGTCTTCCTGCTTGTCTACTTGCCTGCTGCAATCACTGACAACATCATAGGCAGCCTGTGCGACAACCAATGTAAGGAGGCCCTGAGAACTGGGCCCAGTGTTAGGGGGCACTAAGCACCAGTGTAGGGTGCTCATTGAGCAACAGCTTAGGAAGACACTGTGTAAGAGGGCATTCTGAGCACCAATGAAGGGAACCATATAAGAGGACAATGTCTAGTATTGAAGGTCAGACATCACACAGCAAAGGCAGCCCAATGCAAAAGTAGAAAAGTGGCTTTAGTCTGTCTCCTCCAAGGTTATGCCCCTATGATATGTTTCCCTCACAGGGTTTAATCATAGCTGCATGCTGGACTGGGACAAGCGTTTATTGGATGCTGGCACCTGACATCAGGGGAGTCACTGGAAAATTTTAAGTTGGTGATTTGAGTGGCAGTCTGTAAGCTTTCATAATGGTCACAACATAAAGGGACATTTACTCTTGACTCTACTCAGTCCACTGTAAGCTGTGCTGTGCTATGAACACTATATGCTGCGTTGTATAAAACATAGTCCTGATTTCGGAATCTTCATGCTACATAGTTGTGACCCCTGTACTGTATACACTGTGTTATACATTATATAGTCCTAACTCCTGCACCCTATATGCTACGTAGTCTTGACCTATGAAATGTGTATGCTCTGTGGTATGTTATACAATCAAGGGGGCACACGGACCACACCAGTCAAGACTGCTGCACTGTATACACTATGTTGTATGGTACATAAACCTGACCACTTTTTTTTTAGTTGAACCTTATTTTTATTAAAGTAGTTATAAGGGTTCAGCTTTTTTTTTTTTTGACAAACGTCATATTTACCTCCTCTGTGCAATAGTTTGGCACAGAGCAGCCTCAATCCTCCTCTTCTCGGGTACCCTGCCGGTGCTTCTGGTTGTTGGGTAAAATATAAAAGATGATGTTATGCCAAGTATATAGGTACCCAACTTGTTAAAAATAGTGCATGCTCCTGGAATGGTGACAAACTGCAATACATTAAATTATCCATAGGTGACACTAAAAGCCTGTACCAGGTTACCAGTTTTAGAGTTACACAGGAGGTATGGTAATAGAATTCTTGCTCTCGCTATATAGCAGCAATATATCACATGTGTGGTGCAAGCACCGTTTGTATATGTGTGCATTCGACTTTGCGCTTTCTTTTTAGTTTTTATTATTTTATTTACATTTTTTTTTGTATTTTTAACTTTCTCTTAATTTTTTATTTTATTTCAATCATTTTTACAGGCTATCACAAAGGATGAACAACATCCCTTGTGGCAGCTGGGGAAGTGACAAGTCCTCTTTATGGAGAGATCCTGAGTCTATTAGACCCCAGATCTCTCCTGTGCCCTTCAAAGCAGCAGATCAAACCCAGATGCTTTCACAACCCAGTAATGGCTTGTTTAAATCCTGGTGAAACTGGAAGTGACAAAATACTTGTTGCCCCTGGTTTCTTAGACCAGTGGTTCTCAACCTTCCTAATGCCGTGACCCTTTAATACAGTTCCTCATGTTGTGGTGACCCCCAACCATAAAATTATTTACCCAGTAATTATAATTCATGAGTGTACTTTTACCTCCAATACTGCTGCTTTCAACACAGCTGCTTTTAACAGAGTAGCTGCTTTCAACACAGCAGCTGCTTTCTACACAGTAGCTGCTCTTTACACATCGGAAATATGTGTTTTCTAATAGTCTTAGGGGACCCCTGTAAAAGGGGTTGTTCGACCCCCAAAAGGGTCGTGACCCACAGGTTGAGAACCACTGTCTTAGACTATAGAGATGTTGGGGATGTTCCGGTCCTCAGTCATCTCTATGGTCAGCCAGCGACCCCCTTCTGCTGCCTGTAAAAGAGATCCGGCGACTAATTAACCATTAGCAAAGTTTTTACATTAAAGCCCGTCGCTAGCTAAAAAAACACATACACACACTTTATTGCCAAAAGTATTGGGACGCCTGCCTTTACAAGCACATGAACTTTAATGGCATCCCACTCTTGGTCTGTAGGGTTCAATATTGAATTGACCTACCCTTTGCAGCTATAATATCTTCAACTCTTCTGGGCAGGCTGTTCACAAGGTTTAGGAGCGTGTCTATGGGAATGTTTGACCATTCTTCCAGAAGCGGATTTGTTGAGGTCAGTCACTGATGTCGGATGAAAGGCCTGACTCACAGTCTCCGCTCTAATTCTTCCCAAACGTGTTGTATCGGGTTGAGTTCAGGACTCTGTGCAGGCCAGTCAAGTTCCTCCACCCCACACTTGCTCATCCATGTCTTTATGGACCTTGCTTTGTGCACTGGTGCTCAGTCATGTTGGAACAGGGAGGGGCCATCCCCAAACTGTTCCCAGAAAGTTGGGAGCATGAAATTGTCCAAAATGTCTTGGCATGCTGACGCCTTAAGAGTTCCCTTCACTGGAACTAAGAGGCCAAGCCCAACCCCACACCATAATCCCCCTTCCAGCAAACTTTACAATTGACACAATGCAGTCAGGCAAGTACCATTCTCCTGGCACCAGCCAAACCCAGACACATCAATCAGACTCCAGAGAACACGTCTCCACTGCTCTAGAGTCCTGTGGTGGCATGCTTTACACCACTGCATCCGACGCTTTGCATTGAACTTGGTGATGTAAGGCTTGGATGAAGCTGCTTGGCCATGAAAACCCATTTCATAAAGCTCTCTATGCACTCTTGTGCTAATCTGAAGGCTACACAAAGTTTAGTGGTCTTTAGCTATTGACTCCGAAGACCATTGGCAACTTCTGCATACTGTGCGCTGACCCCCGCTCTGTCATTTTATGTGGCCTACCACTTCGTGGTTGAGTTGCTGCTGTTCCCAGTTGCTTCCACTTTGTTATAATACCACTTACAGTTGACTGTGGAATATTTAGTAACAAGGAAATTTCACGGTTGGACTTACCGGACAGGTGGCAACCTATCACAGTACCATGCTTGAATTCACTGAGCTCCTGAGAGTGACCCGTTCTTTCACACGTTTGTAGAAGCAGTCTGCATGTCTAGGTGCTTGATTTTATACACATCTGGCCATGGAGGTGATTGGAACACCTGAATCCAATGATTTGGAGGGGTGTCCCAATACTTTTGGCAATATACAGTTGCAAGAAGAAGTATGTGAACCCCTTGGGCTTACGTGGAGTTTTGCATGAATTGGGCATAAAATGTGCTCTGAACGTCATCTAAGTCACAACAATAGAAGAACACAGTCTGCTGAACAAAATACTACACAAACATTAGAAGTTGCCATGATTTAATTGCACATAACATGTAAACATTCACAGTGCAGGGAGGAAAAAGTATGTGAACCTTTGGACTTAATAGCTGGTTGACCCTCCTTTGGCAGCAATAACCTCAACCAAACGTTTCCTGTAGTTGCAGATCAGACCTGCACAACGATCTGGAGTAATTTTGGACCAATCTTCTTAACAAAACTGTTTCGGTGTAGCAATATTCTTGGGATGTCTGGTGTGAATCGCTCTCTTAAGGTCATGCCACAGCATTTCAATCGGGTTGAGGCCAGGACTCTGACTGGGCCACTCCAAAAGGCGTATTCTGTGCTGTTGCAGCCATTGTTTTGTTGAATTACTTGTATGCTTTGGGTCATTGTCCTGTTGCATCACCCATCCTCTGCGGAGCTTCAGTTGGCGGACAGATGGTCGTGCATTTTCCTGCAAAATGTCTTGATAAACTCTGGAATTCATTTTCCCATCAATGACAACAATCCGTCCAGGCCCTGAGGCAGCAAACAGCCCCAATCCATGATGCTCTCTCCGCCATGTTTTACAGTGGGGATGAGGTTTTGATGTTGGTGTGCTGTGCCTTTTTTTTCTCCACACATAGTGTTGTGTGTTCTTCCCAAACAACTCAATCTTGGTTTCATCTGTCCACAGTATATTTTGCCAATAGTGCTGTGGAACATCCAGGTGCTCTTTTGCAAACTTCAAACGTGCTGCAATATTCTCTTTGGACAGCAATGGCTTCCTCCGTGGTGTCCTCCCATGTACTCCATTCTTGTTTATATTTTCCTTATTGTAGATGTGTCAACAAAAATGTTAGCATGTGCCAGAGATTTCTGTAGGTCTTTATCTGACACTCTGGGATTCTTCTTTACCTCATGCAGCATTCTGCGCTGTGCTCTTGCAGTCATTTTGTCAGGAAGCGCGGCGTCCTGTCGGCCGGCGCACGCGCACTGGCGACGGCTCATGCCGGGACACAAGCACCAGGTCCCGGCGAGCCGCAGATGACAGGACGCCGCGCATGCGCAGTAGGAGCCGCGGGCGCGCCTCGGGCGGCCAATGACAGCCCGGGGGCGCGTCCTGGACGGCCAATGACAGTGCAGGGCGCAATATTTAAAGATGCTCTGCACTGTCACTATCGCCACAAGGTCTATCTGTGTTCCTGGATCCTGTACCTAAGTTATTGACCCTGATTGTCCCTGATTTCGCTGCCTTCTCCTGTGTTTGACCCAGATCGTCCTGACTACGCTGCCTTCTCCTGTATTTGACCCGGATTGTCCTGACTACTCTGCCTTCTCCCCTCCTCTGACTCCCGGCTTGTTTTGACCTATCTACGGACTGACTTATCCTGCTGACCCTGCGTGTGACCTGCCGATTCTCCGCCTGCCGATTCTGTACCTCGCCTACCCC